GATTTTGTTATTTTTAATGGAAACTTTTTTGTTGATGACTTGATGAATTGAGCTTAATTGGGTTTTTGAGTTCCAATTTTAGCAAGGGTAATTCATAATTGCTTGAATGAGTGTGCAACAAAGGTTTCTTATTTCTTACTTGAAATGTTTTGGTGTTAAGTTTTAGGAAAGTTTAGTACAATTATTGTTTTTGTTTAATCTTGGTGTTTTTTGTATTGAATTATTTAAACATTGTTTTACCACAAAAAAAGAGAAGATACATATATGTTTTGATTATGTAACTCTAGTAAGTAACTTAATTTGTTAGAGATATTGATGATTTTTTACTCCTTGTGGAAAATTGTTATTTTGGTTGGTCAATGTTATTAATGCATATTGTTGGGTTTTTGGCCTAATTTTAGTTATTTTGGGAAATTTTGCAGTTTAATTTCCTTAAAAAGACTTTGAAATGACCAGGTTTTTTAGCATCTGGTTATTATTAGCACTACCCTTAGTCCATAATTGCATCAAATGTCTTCTACTGGTTTGGCTAGGATGTAATCATGTTTTGGTTGAGTAGTGGCTGTTAGCACCAACACATGTCAATGTTCAATAACGACACGTCACTAATTCGTGTTATTACATTCAATTATTTCCATTCTCAAATTATTATTGTTGTTAACCTGTTAGTGTTAGTGTTTGTGATGGTGTTCAGAACCTTCTCAAACTTATGAGAGGCCCTATGTAAGAAGTTGATGTTAACTTTAGTTGAGCTGTGAAATTTTTTTTAAGGAGGCCTATTTAACCTTAAATTAACTGTGGAATTATGTGTATGGAGACCTTTTTGCCATAGCTTAATCATGAAAAAGTGCGAGGCCCTGTGCTGTAGGCTGCTTTGCACACCGTCAAAGGTGGCCTTGATATGTTTGATGTCCGAGTATGTGTTTTCACTACTTCTTTGTTGGTGATCTATAATTTTCAAAACCAAAAAGTAGAAGGAGATGTCACTGTTTTGGGCTAATTGAGTGGGCACCATAAGATGCCTTTTTGGTGTGGAATACTGTACATGGAATTTGATCTTAAGATTCCCTTGTTTGTGGAAGGGCGTGATGATTGAATATGACTATGGTATTTGTCTTTATATTCCTTCATAATTTAGTAATACTTTGTTTAACCACTATGGCATTACCTAACGTGTTCATCTTCATACCCCGCAAATTCCATCAAGCCCGTTTCCTTGACTGTGGATTCGCTGGATAATAGACAGGGGGACAAGAGGAATTAGGAATTTCGTTAATACATTGTTTAACCACTATGGCATTGCCTAACATGTTTCTATTTGTAAATAATTTTCGCAGCCTGGTCCAAGGGAGAATCTCCTTCAATGCTTTATAAAGCGCAACCGGTCCACTCAAACGTATTATTTGTTTCTCAGTTTAACTAGTTGTGAGTATACAATTAAACCCGTCGGTGATTTCTTTATGTGTAAAACTTTAGTTTATTTGTTTCGCCTCATTCTCAGCTTTCCTTTTTGAGATCTAAAGCTTCTTTAATTCAGCGTTAGGTGATGACGGGAAGTTCCTTCTGGCTGCTCGCAAAAGCAGACGTCCTACCTGCACAGATTATATCATCTCTCTAGATGCAGATGATATGTCAAGAGGAAGCAATACCTATGTCGGGAAACTGAGGTGAGCTGCTAACTATTCAGATTCTATTACCATTATTGTTTCATTTTTACCGTGTATTATTGTGATGACTTATACCTTTTTTTTTGTTCTCTTGTAATAAGATCAAATTTCCTTGGAACAAAGTTCACAATCTATGACGGCCAGCCACCTCATACCGGAGCTAGGTTTACTAAAAGTCGTTCTACTAGGTTGGTGAATCTAAAGCAGGTTTCACCCAAGGTCCCAACCGGCAACTATCCAGTGGCTCACATCTCATATGAATTGAATGTCCTTGGCTCGAGGTAAGCGTTGTGTATTGCAATTGTTCATACACATTTTATAACGGACTTCATAGATCGACTACTCTATTCTTACCATCTATATATTGCTAACAGGGGGCCTAGGAGAATGCACTGTGTCATGAATTCCATTCCATCCTCTTCGATCGAACCAGGAGGAGTAGCTCCTACACAAACTGAGTTTTCTCTAAACAACATAGAAATGTTTCCCCTATTTCCTTTTTTCCGATCAAAATCAAATCGTGTGATGGAGAGTTCTCTATCCGGACCCCTAGTTGGTGATCAAAAAGACGGTTTACTTGTGTTGAAAAACAAGGCTCCGAGGTGGCACGAGCAGCTGCAGTGTTGGTGCTTAAACTTTCACGGACGGGTGACAGTTGCCTCAGTTAAAAACTTTCAGCTGGTGGCTTCCGCCGAAAACGGAACTGCTGGACCAGAACACGATAAGATTATTCTGCAATTCGGAAAAGTTGGGAAGGATTTGTTTACAATGGATTATCGATACCCTATCTCGGCATTTCAGGCATTTGCAATCTGCCTCAGCAGCTTCGATACCAAGATTGCTTGTGAATAACATGTT